GTCCCTTCCGACCCTAGAAACTATGAAACTATGAAAAGGCCCTGAATCCTATGAGGGGAGTTAGTTGCTGTATTACAATAATCCAGGGTTTTCTTCACTGTTTTTTGGTCAGAAACCAGTAAGCAACCCCTTCCTTTGTTTCAATGATGCAAACACTTATTAAGAAAAACAAAAAACCTCTCCTGGATTATGTATCTTATAAAATTTCTAATAGTTAAAGAGCTGTTTGGTGCTCTTTAATACAAATTGTACAGACTTGTTTCAGAGTAGGTTGTATTTCAGATTGTGGTTCTGTAGCTTTTTCAGTGCTTTTGTGGTTGTGTAGCTTTTAGCCTTTTTTTCCCATTACAAAGTGGAAACAGTTGGAATGACTGGGTATTCTTATGTTTACAATTCAATCCATTTGAAGTACCATTTTAAGACAACCCTGAATTTAAGGTGGTCCCCCCATAATTAGATTATGTACATGGGGAATTTTATAAATTCGTTGTAATTTTCCATGTATTCAAATCTACTCACTGAGGGGTCATCTTTAATTTATCCCCCCACTGCTGTGGAGGAGCAGGCAGTTGGGGGAGGTGGTTTGGGGAGGTCAAACAGTTTGCCCCCTGCATGTGCCTGCCCCCTGCTGCCTCTGCTCCCCCCTTTTCATTTCCCCCTACACTTCTGCTTCATGCTGGCAGGTTCCATCCACGCTGAAGCCTAGGGGTCTGAGTATGGCCCTAGCCCCACACCCATAACAGCCCTGCAGGGTTTGCACTGCTGCTACAGGGCAAAACTGGGCTGTAGCGTGGACAGAGCCTGCTGTTTCATAGCAAGAATAAGAGGGGGAGGGAGATAGGTGGGCAGCAATGAAGAGACAACAGGGTTAGGGGGGGTAAGGAAGACAGGGTGCAGAGGCAGTAGCACAGGATGGGGCAGGCAGCAGCTGCCTGCCCCCTTCTCTTCCCCCCTGCTCCAACTATCCTCATACTCAATTCTAAGATGACAGGCCCCCCCCCCCCCACATGTTAAATGGAGGAGGTGGGGCACCTCGTCTTATAATTGAGTTAATGCGTAATATAGCATTTCAGTTCAGTGGGTTTCATGCAAGCTTCCAAGTTATGTTAAGTGTAGTTTCTCTCTAAAGAAAAAACA